CCGGCGTGCTCCGTCCCGGCTTTGTAGGGATGCGAGGTCAATGGTCTAACGACTACGGCATGCACGACTATGAGTACCCCCCCCCCCCCCTCGCCCCGAGCAATTTCGAGCTTGCAGTCTCTGATAACGTAGCGCACCCAGAAGTAAAAGGGCCCGCCGCCTGTCGGTCGGATGGCCCCCCTGCTTAGAAGTTAGTATCAACAAAGAGAGGATGCCCGGAAAAAAATGTTTTTTGGAAATTATAGGTGTGGGTCGACCGATGTAAAGGTCCCATTTCCCAACGTTTTTCGTCGAGGACGATTCCCTACTTTCGCAGCAGTTTTATTGTTTCTTCTCTTTGGCCGTCGTGGGTTTGAACCAACCAACGGTACTTCGGGGCTAACGTGATGACGGCCAGGTCTGCGCCGACGAAAGCGTAGCCTCCATCGGTACTATTTTCTTGCTATATCTGGGGGGAAGTTCCTACATGGGATCGAGTGGAACCGAAAACGACCCGGATGGTGTACACACCCTGTGGCAGTCGGAACCCAAACACCCGAAACCAACTAGTAGTGAAACTCCAAGTAACGGCCCCTCGAAACAGAAGTGGGTGATTCCTCTCTCGCAGTCCGTTTCGAAATTAGAACGAAAACGTTGTGGGTGCGGCAAACGTCTCGTTTTCTCCAGGAGACGAAGTGCGCGATATTTTTCACACAAGTTGATCCTCTCACGAGGAAATTATCGCCAGTTCGGGAAACGTCTTGTCCCTTCCTCTCTCCGACCTGATATTTTTCCACTCAACCTATCGCGCGTGCGCCGCGTGAAACACAAGTAGCACCGTAGATGACAAAAGATGTCACCCTCCCTGGTCAGATTTTCGAAGGTCGAATGCTCCAAGGGAGAGTGGCGGGGCCGAAACTGGGGCGTTGGAACCGTCTCGTCCAGAGCTTTCAAAAACATTCCATTGATTTTGGCGTCCTCTTTGTGGTGGCGTAGAAAGAAAATTGGTCCAGGGTGGTGTAGCCTAATGTATCATGTCACCTACGGCGGTGTCAAGAATCCACGTCGAGCGTGACAACCGAGACACATCGGTTCGAAACAGTTTCGAAACGGAGGAACAACGAATGATGTTCAGACTATTCAAAGTACCATTCGCAAATTCTTTTTGTACGCGTACGGCAGATCAATCGCTAACAATATTTACGTGAAATGCTTCAGCAGCCCTTGGATGTTTGAATTGTGCGTATTTTTTTTGAACACAAGATCCAAGATCCAAGCATCAAAGGATCCAAGCATCCAAGCTGACCTGCTGAACCTGAACTGAACCGGAACGTCCAACCGGTCGCTATTTCGCCGCAAAAAAAATGTTACGAATCGGACATGGTCCACTCCTGTTCAGGCATGCATAGGTCTGCAAAGAGAGGAAGAGAGAAGGAGAGAGAGAGGGAAGGGGGAGAGAAAAAGAGACGGGGGGGGAAGGAGGCGTATGATGGACAAAGAGAAGGAAGGACGGGGAGCTACAAGAAAATCAGTTGGTCAGTCTTGCATGTTTGCGTACATAGACTAGAGGATGTTTTAGTCTAGTCTAGATATCTTTCGTGTCGACAACAGTTTGTCACCTCAACTGCGTTATGGTATAAAATAGTGATTGGTGCGTTGCTCCGCAGTGCCAACACGATCCTTGAGTCAGGCCACGGCATCTCGCCTGCAAATAATTGGCATGTGAGCCTCTGAACTGCGTGTGTTGGGGCTTCAACCCCGTGGAATCATATGCTCATCGTATCTTTCTGGGCGCCAGTCTACCACATTTCGGTAGGTGTTTGACGCACCAGCCGGGGTTACACAGTGCCTACCTTCCGCCTGGTGTTTCCCTTCTGACGCAATCGCGAGAAGCATGCAGTAGCTCCTTCCCTCCGCGAGTGTACTCAGACGGCTCTGCGCTCGAACCCTCAACCACACATTGACAACCCATGTCTCGTCCTTGTAGATTAGTCTACAGTGTCGTCGCCAGTAGAGCTATCAAGATTTTTCGAGGTTGCCCTCTTCGGGCACAGTAGTTGACTTGTGACCACGGCATGCGTCCGCGTCAGTTGGACCAATACAGACATGATTCGTGCTGAGCGGAGACCGGAACGGTTTTTGTTGTGAAGACAACAACAACTGCTTTCGGAAGTCGCTGTGTTGTTGTTGTTGTTGTTGTTGTTGTTGTTGTTTCTCACATTAGCTCTAAAAAAAAGATAGATTGGGAGCCCGTGGTCTCAAAACCCGGCATACACGACCCCACGAAGAAACAGAAAAAAATAGGGTACAAAAACCACTCGGAAGAGAAAAAAATGATAGAAAGAAAGACCAGCTACCGCACCAAACGAGAAAGAGCGTCGAGGAGACCGATCAAAATAAAACAAAAGGAGAACGGGGAACGCTTCCCACACCCGCCTACAACGCCGGAGGGTTCCGTGCCGGGTTCCCGCCGACCAGGCATCCCCCGCCCTGCACCACACCCCAGGGGGTGCAGCAAGACGGGGGGCGAAAAACAAACACATATATATTCCCACAAAAAAATAAAAAATCGAAGGACAACGTACACCAGTACCAGGTACTACAGCAGTGCAGTATGCACCAGCGCATTAGTGTAGGGTAGGCACCGCACCAAAGAGGCAGCAGAGGTGGCAGGCAGCC